ACAGATGAATGGATAAGAAAAAAAATGTGGCAATTATATGCAATGGAATACTATTCAGCCATGAAGAAGGATAAACTGAGTCATTTATACAAAAATAAATGCACCTTGAGACAAAAATGTTAAATGAAATAAACCAGACATTTGAGCTTAAATATTACATGGTTTCTCTTACATGAGAAATCCAAATATAGATAAAGAGCAAAATAGAAGACAGAAAAATTGGGAGGAGATTCCCTACAGGAGCTCTTGGTTTTTTAATCAAAACATGTGATTGCATTTGTCTTTTGTGATGCCTGTAGCATTTGAGAGTTTTTGAAAGTATATAAGCATTAGATTTGACTAGCTAGTGTTCTCTCATCATGAAAATATCACTATGAATTTCTGTCAAGTAAATAAACCTTTAAATATAAAAAAGATTATCTGGTCTTTGGTATTGTTACTGTATAAAACAGACTAAGACATCTACTTAACACACACATCAAACCTTCATACAACACATCTGAATTTGCTAAATGTCCCTTAATAGCTACTCTTCCTTAATAGCAAATTCCCTAGTTTTTAAACTGATATTCAGAGTAAGAATTCTAGTTTCCAGACACTTCGCAGCTAAGTGTCTGGCTCTGTGGCTATGTTCTGGCTTGATGGTTCTGACAGTGCAGTCTGGGCAGCAATGGAGTTCCAAAACACTTCTGGTAGTTCATAAGGCCCAAACCATTAAGACATTATTTCTCTTTTTATTCTCATACTCTTATGAGGACACGGGAGAATTTCAGGGGCACTATGTCACATGATCACAATAGAGCAGATACAAGAACCCAGTTACTTAGACAGACATGAGCACAACTTACAAAAAGGTAAAGCACTGGCAGCCATCTCACTGATTTTGAGAAACAGTTCTTTCTCAGATCTTTGCAGATACACTTAGTTCAAAATACTCTCACTACTAAAGATCCTTAGTCATATCTATAACTTCTTTTGCTATGCAAAGTCACATATTCACAGGTTCCAATAATGAGAACATCGTCATCTTTGGCATCATTATTCTGCTATCATGATATTCTTTTATAACCCATATAAGACAAGACGTTTGGAGTCTGCAATAATTTTTAGAATATAAAGTGGTCCTAAAACCAAAACATTTGAGAAGCACTACTCTAATATATGCATGGATCAAAGTAGTTATAGGAGGGAAAAATACACCTCAGAAAAGCTAAATGACTCACCATACTCATACAGACTGAGCAGACATTCAACTTCACTCCGGAAGTCTGTCTACCAAAGAACCTAGTAGTATATATGGCTTCCTCTGTACCATGCTGCCAACCCCTGAACACACTGACTGTAACGAAGGCAAAAGTTATTCTGTGGGCATTTCTGTAGGTGTCCAATAAAGGTACTACAACAACAAGCATTCAGAGGTAAATCTTTTGAACAGGAGGAGAGGACAGCGTTTAAATGATCTTAACTTTTCAAATCCTTATGTAGCAATATACCAATTTTTATCTCATGAGAGAGAGGAGGACAATGTTACAAATGGCAAGTGTCCAGAGGGAAGGCCATAGAGAGATGAGTAATCAATCTCACTGCAGGAGAACAGGATTATAACTAAAGCTCTGAGACACAGGAAGCACAGTGAAGCATTCTCCTGGGTTGGATGATGGCCCTGGTGAGCCAAGTTTATGGCCACTGACAAGCCCCAGTGTTTAACATCCTACCTGACACAGAAATGTGAAAGACCACATTCCTGAGCACTCTTTCTCTGCATTGCTTTAGTATCAACAGAATCATAACTTCACAGCAGGAAATAAACTGTGTTCGGGTGATCTCTGTTAATACCAGGCCATAGGACACATTTACAGTAAAAGCAGAGACCTGGAATGCTCACAGGGCCATTTTCTGCTGTGCGCAATGAACTGACTAGTCTAGGCATGCCAAACCAGAGCAGCGGGACTGTGATTCCTTCTCCACACCCACGCAATGTGCACCAATGAATGATGGCACCCTGGCCCATAAGATTGGCCAGGCTCCCTGGAGAAGTGTACCCATCTCTGGCAAGCTTCTCAAGTCGACACCTTGCTTTCTCAGCTCCCAGGAGTTTAGCTAACCCAACTATTTGAAAAGAAAAGCGGCAGTACTGCTTAAACTGACAGTCACGAAAGCCCAAGATTATGAGATATAGGAATCTCTTTAGATAGATAGATAGATAGATAGATAGATAGATAGATAGATAGACAGGCAAACAAGCAGGCAGGCAGGCAGGCAGATAGATGTAGAGATAGAGATGATATAGATATAGATAGTCTAAACATGAGTCCATATATATATGGAACTATCCTTAGGATTTGCTATCTAAAGGAAGAAAAGCCACAGAACTTTCTGGTGTTTGTATTTTCTACGTGAAAGCATGGGACAGTGCCAGCCAACCTTCTAAGAAGCTCTAGTCACAGCACTCAGTATTTCCTAGGAATGTCTGCAGTACCACCCTTCCCAAGAGTACACTACCATACCTGTAACCTACAAAGCATACACCATAGAGACACAGCATGCATCAGTTTCATCACAAAACACACACATACCTCTATCAGAAGTATGTAGCCTCTAAAAAGATATGGTTGCCTATGTGTGATTATTCAGAAAGAATTTTTCAAATTTATTAAATCAACAAACTCACTTGACATCCATCCTGAAATATCTGTTGTCATCTGGTAAAGCCCAAGGCAACTTAACATTCTATAAACAAAACTTACACTGCATTCTATGTCTATTAAAGGGATGTGAAATGCAAGGACATGGTGCTTACAGAGATGAAGCTTGCCATTCACAACAGCATGCATCTATTTTCTTTCTACATTCCACATGAAGAGAAAGGCATCCAGAGGCAGAAACTATAGCTGAATCTCTATGTAGGATTCTAGGTAGAAAGAAAAATGACACTTTGACAGAAAGGAGATTGGGAGGCACAAGAAGTTGTTGCTGAATAAGTACTCTGTTCTAGTAGGTCATTCCAATAGTAGTAATTCCAGTTTCCAAGAGAGTAAATATTCAATAGATTAATTAGAAAGAGAACCTGGGCAAGGCAGGGACACAGAATGTGATACGAGTCCAAATGTGGTTCAAGCAAGCTTTAGAAGAGCTCACTATTTCAGTATTTTCTTACCCTGAAGTAAAATAAAGGAATTTACCTTTTAAAGTATAAAGGGTTTAAGAAAACTGATAAACAACATATGCAGAAAACTTTTTTTTTAATCACTTGGCTACTCCCAATTCAGGAAATAGAGTGGACTGGATATTTGCATGTTTTGCAACTATAATTAGATTCTAAAGAATTGGGGGAGGAACAGAGAGAGACAGAGAGAAAGACAGAGAGACAGAAATAGACAGACATAAACAGAGAGAGAGATAGAGACATAGACAGGTTTTCTGAGACAAAGGCTCAAGTCTTCTGCCTCAGCTTCTTGAATACTGGGATTATACCATGACCAGTTTGGATAATTTTTTTTTTTTATGTAAGTAAAAACTTTATTTGTCCACACCAGGATTAAATTACTTAACAGAAACACAATGGTGGTTGGAGGTTGGTATACACAGTACTTCATTCACATCAAGATCCTTAGAAAACAGCATTAATCCCACCATTGTATTACCAAGGGTCATGGGGTTTGGGACAGGTTCTCAGGTTCTTTTCTTTTTCTTTTTCTTTTTTTTTCTTTTTTGGATTTTATTTTAAAGAGGAAAAAAAACAAAATTTCACAACAAGATAATAGGACAATATGGTTAATAGGACAATTGTTGCCAGGGACATAGCTCAGTGGCACAGTGCCTGCCTCGTAAGTGCAAGGTCCTGAGTTTGATTCCCGGTACCAAAAAAAAAAAAAAAAAAAATCAAACATTAACTATTGTTATCTTTGAATTAGTTACTCAGAGTACAAGATATAGTCATTTATTTGTCCAAACTATACTAGCACAAGCCTTTCTTTTCAATGAACTAAGAGAAATTAGTGGTATAACTATCACAGTGAGAGCGCGCGCGCACGCACACACACACACACACACTTTTTTTTTTTTTTTTGGTTTTTCTCTTCCTTCTTTTCTCCTTTCCCCCATCCCAGTTTCTCAGGTTCTTTTCTGCAACAAAGGAATTGGACATGGCATGCTACAACAAAATCACAGCAGCAAATTTTTTTTTTGTTTTCTTTTTTGGTTTTTTTTTTCCAGTACCGGGAACCAAACTCACAACCTTGCGCTTGCCAGGCAGGCACTGTGCACAGCGGCAAAATTTATTAAGGTGATAACACACTTGGAGTGAGCAGGCTCATGCACATGAGGGCACAGGACAGTGGAGGCAAGTCTGTGGTACATGTGCTGCAGCTGGTTATTTGTTATCACTGAAAGCTCTAAAAGGTTCACCATCCCTGGCATAGGGTACAGGGTTTAAATGTCCCACCTAGTTTAAGGTGCCTCCATTCAGGGATCTTCCAGAGCAAGACTGACAGCACGTCAAACACCATTTAGTTCTGCCAGCTTTTGTGTTCTAGATGAAACTCTTTCATCTTAGATTGGTATCTGAGCAGTACTGGCCTAGACTGCTCAACTGCAGGGAAAAGGCTATTAGGTAACTGGAATATTCTACATTAAAAGCCTTAATTAAAAGCAATTCCAAATTAAAGGAAGAGGACTGGCCCAAAATGACACTCCTGGGAAATTCCTAGAATCTTTTCCATGAGGTTTTTGTGACTAAAGGTGATGCTATTTCCTGTGCCCTTTTACTCCTACTACCCCGGCCCTCCTCCAAGGGTGCTCTTCCATTCTTTCTCCAGCTTTTCCCAAACTATACCAGCCCTTCCTTGGCTGACTTTGCCCTAGCGCACCACAAAGGGCTGCAAATTCCATCTATCTCACCAGAGCCTAACAGGCAATCTCAGAACAAAGCTGGTACAATTATAAGGAACTTCAGATCCATGAATTCTTTAAGAATGGGAAAATCTCCGAATCCGACTTACCTGTGTAACCTTTTATACACCTTCTACAGTGCTCCAACTTCACTCTTCTTAAAATTCAGAAAGTCCACAATTCTCCCAGGTACTGAAGCTTTGTCTAGAACAGGAAAAGCAGGAAATAAACCCCATTTCTCATGTAACTAATCAAATAAAAGTTCAACCTTTAAGAGGACAAAGGGTCAGCCAAATTGAGGAAAATTTCTAGGTTGTTTTTCATCTTTAACCAAAACTATTCAGTCAGTTCATGTCTGTATAAGAAATCACTGCTATTTACAAAGAGCCTTCACATGCATTTTCTAATATTTAATCCATTTACTTAATCATTAACTTATTCTCTCCACACACACTCACGGGACCCTTTTTCCCGAGCCATATGGAGATGACATCCATGGTCCTTTATCTCTATGCACTTTAGAAACTATTTCCTAAGACTAAGAATAAGAACACTCTTCTTTTTAATTAAAGAAGACAATTTATTTGAAGGTTGAGAAGAAGGAAGAGAGGATGACAGACAGCTACTCTAGACAAGGAGGGAGAATTCAAAATTGAATTGCTCCAAGCATAAGGACACTTTTACATAACCACAAAGTAGTTACCAATCTTAGTAAATTTAACATTGGTTAGTATTTTAATCCACTGCCACACTGAATAACCTAACAATGATCTTTATAACACTACTTTTTCCTCTAATTAAGCATCCAGTCTAGGGTCACATATTGCATCTAGCTGCCATTTCTCTTTAGTTTCTTTTAACCTGAACATACAACATTCCTTTGTCTTTTATAACACTGATATTTTAGAATAGGTTCTCCCCTTTTA